TTCCACAGAACGAGAAGGTTGAATTCCTCAGCAACCCATGAATACTAAGTGTGGGTAGAAGGCAAAAATGATACCTCCACAAACACTTGTCTAATTGATCATACCTCCTATCTACAGTTGTCGAGCTTTTTACCATCCCTGCAAAACTCTTTTTTTCTAAGGTTCTCATTGATTGTAGGCTCACTCACTGCTCGGCTCCTATTTTTTGTTGAAGCTAGCCGTTTCGAGTTCCTCTAGATACCCTGCAAGAAGTCCAATACATGGCGCATCCAGTAAGACCTTTGCTGTCCGATAACTATGTTTTTATAATGTCGGAATCTAGCCTTTTTCGGCTCTTTGGAAATAGGGTACATTTCGAAGCTCCCAAAGCGTAAGGGTAAGTAATCGGTGCAGTGCACTTTCCCCGAGTGGCATTGACCGGCTACCAAGGAGGACCCATATGAATGCAGCTGAAGATACTTTTCTGAATGCCAATACCAATGCATACACACGAACAGTTTTCGTGCATGCGATTAACATTTTTCCCGGAACCGCCGTCGTCGCCACTGTTTTTCCATCGCCGAAAAATGATCGGCGATCGGCGTTCACCTACTGAATCACATAATCCACTAATCCTCCGTCGTTCTAACGGTCGTTTGCTCGGAGATTTTTCCAAAGAGTGACTTTCTTTTTGTTGATTCTAGTACTTTTTTGTCAAATGTATTGCCTAAGCCTACACGGAAGCATTCTACTCTAGAGATTCCTCACAGGAACTGAAAATGGTCGAGTAACTCAAGAGGTAGCTAGCCTCGAACATCGTCTGGGAGCCAAATTCTATTCAGAACTAATGCGCATCCTTCAAGAAATCGAATTCTTTTCGGATCCCTTGCTTATCCTCTACTTCTTAACATTTGGGGCGGGCCAGAGTCCTTCAAGAGGATAAATTTTGATAATTTGCACATGAACATGGGGCATGGCTGATTGCATATGCTGATTCCGCAATCATATTCCTCCATATCAAAATAGTAGAACTCTTATGCATGGCGTATACCTGGGAATAGCTGTGCCTCAAGCTCTTCTCCTTTTTTGTAGGAAATAGACCGGTTGTTCATAACAAGATGATTATGGCGTACTGTAAGAGTATTTTTCTCAAAGCCGGATTAATTTTGTAAGATGAAGTGCTCGATGTTCACCATTTCTCAGAACTTGTACGTGCACTTCAATTCCGTACATCACTGCAAACGCAATTCAGGGAGTTAGTGGCTTTTGTAATTTATTGTAGATACCAGTTGCTGTTCATAACTAACCTTTTTATCAGTCCGAATGAGAATATAAATTAATTCGACCCGTGGTTCGTACAAGCAGTAGGCAAACTCCTTGACTTCAAGCTAACTTCTGCTAACATAAATGGTCTTAATGAAGGGTCCTACAAGTCGTACAGACAGTTCTTCTCAACTTATAACTGAGCCCATACCATCAGAATACGGTGGCCCAAATGTAAAAGTCTCATTTGCAGTGTCTTCAACTGCGTAAGTCTTCTGATAGGGTCGATTTGGACAGGTCCAGGAGTTGGAACAGCTTACTGGGGTGACCCCCTACAGATAACCATTGGAACGATGACTTTTTGTGACTCACTTTTTGTCTGTTTACGTTTTAATCAGTGACAGCTTTGTTTTACGCTATCTCCCTAGTAGTCGCTGATAATGCTCCGTTGCAAACTACAAATTCAATCGTAATCTGACCCATGCTTCCAGTCATCGCCCATGATTCATTGCCGACGATGTTTCCTTTTGTTTCTGACGTCCTGATGAAATGTTATCAATTTGTAGTAGCCTATGATCCTACGTAATGATTCTTTCCATACAGATACACTGCAAATTTGCAAACTGACTGAGATCTTTATTCTCCCCTGGTGTACGCCGTGCACGATCTTTCTGCTCAGAACAGTATTGTTATTCGTCCGCATTCTTTCTTCTGGCGCCTACCGTTACTCGCACTTTGGAGTAAATCCTAGTTGGAATTGTTTTTTTGAAGGCCATTCTCAGTTCTGACTGAACCACTGGAACTTTATGGTTGTCCAGACCCTCGAATTGCCTTCAGTACATGGGCTTGAAGCACAAGTTTATTGAACAGTATTTATTCTACAGTAATCCCATGAAATAACTGGAATACAAGATAGTTTTTATGCTCCTTTTCCACATACGAGCTCGGGTGAAACTGGTTAAACTATATCGATTTGGTGCGGATCAATCCAGTTGAGTTAGAGCCGTCGTCCTTCTAAGAGACTGTCGAAAACAGGTAATACATGGATTAAGAATCCTGCCCAACTTTTGAATGACTTTCTTTCATAGGCAGCTCTGTAAGCAACTGTGAAACAAACTTTTTTGATGGCCTCAGATCGGACCATGGAGATACACCTGAATTCTTTTTGGATTTGTTAGTTAAGCAGTGTTCGGTCTAGAAAGATAGAAGATCGATTGGGTTCTCAACAAAGAGGAGATGGTCCAAAAGTAGTGCCTTCCTTGTCGGTACCAAATGGTAAACGTGACAATGAGAACAGTGGATTTCTTGGAGATGTCTCCTATGTGTCACAGCACATTCATCTTGAAAAGAATTCAGGCCAACCCTCCTAAGAAGTGGACCACGCCCAGTCTTACGCCTTGAACGAAGTCAGCTTCTCTTGGAATTCCACCTACAAACCTGGAGGCAGAAGCAAAAACTAACGATCTCTTGGAACTTTTCTTTCTACTTGTTTTTCACACAAAGGATGAAACGCTTAAAAGTGCAATCATTAACAGTTTTCTCCTTCCAATAATGACCATCCATTTGTCAATTTTGTATTTTTTCTCTCAGCGCTTATCCTCAGGCCCCCGTCAGATGGAAATCTACCGCATGAAATCGTTTTGTATGAAAGATTTTTCAGAAGATGCTTTGGTTCAGCGTGCTACTCGTCGCCTTCACCTGTTACCCTGTAATGGCCATACATGGTCATCATCATGACGTCTACTGGAACTCATCAAATCCTATGTAAGTCATATTATTGTAAATTTGCTAGTGTAGGTAGAGTCTAGCTAGTTTGCGCCGTCGATTCAGTTCAAAGTAAGAAACGTACACCCAACTGAGTGCAATGAGTGTAATGATCTCAGGACAGCCGGAGGGATTTCTTAGAAGATGCTTTGGTTCAGCGTGCTAGCCGTTGCCTTCAAACTGATACACTCCCATGGCGTGAGGGTACATTTCCCAGACCTCGAATGAAGGATAGCCTCGCCGGGAGTACGTCAACTATCTCGGAAAGAGTCGAGACAGAATTTGGTAGATAGTCGAGAAGATAAAAATGGGAAGTGGATTGTGAGAAAGAATAAGCTCCCAGCTTTTCATTTATTATCTCCCGGCTAGGCTATCCTTCACGGCTAGGGCTGAGAAAGGCACCTTCACGCTATGGGAGTTCTTCGTTTCAAGCTCAGCTAGCCTCGATTACCGTCTGGAGACCCGAATTCTGTTTATTATGATTGTTACTATTGCCTCTACTTACCTTAAAATCTGTCTAGGGGATGGATGACGGTAGCGTATCGATTCAAGAGCTTCAGTCAAAATAATCAAATCCAAATTAGTTCCTGGGTGCCAGACATTCAATAGCACAAAACACCGGCTTTGAAATTTGTTGCTCTTTGTGCTTCTTTGTGCTTCATATTATAAACCCACTTAGCATACATTTGCCCCTGCGGCCCCGCGGAGGAGAGCTGAGTGCACGGCGTATATTAGCAGGAATAATCAATGCTACTTTTTAGCCCAGATTTATCTCTTTTTTGATATTTCAGCAATTTCTAATTCCAGTTTCGAACCATTCGACAATGCAATTGACTCACCTGGTTACTACGAACTGGTAGCTAAGCCACTTGACATTGTTCGATTTCACTGTCCACGAAGGAAAGCCAAAGAGTACAGCCTTATATACAAGGTGACTAAATTGAATTGCACGTCATTTAAATATTTATAATTATTTTGACACCCCTGGTAAACAATAAACAGATCAAGAATTTTATGTATTACTGTATCGCGTTCGAGTGTTCGACAAGATTTTGCGATGGTATTATTATTTTCTTCGGATGCGCCAAGCATTCGGCGTGTAGTTGACTTTGTGATAGTTCGGATCTAGTAGGCATTCGTGCTAGCTGTTTACTTTTGTCTATGTAAATGTGAAACAAGCGTTCGAGGCACAACGATGACTAAAGACCGATCGGCCCATTCTCAAAACGGGTGACGCAGGATAACTAGTCCATTTCCTTACTTTTTCGCTTTCCAAGTGCATGGCGCATCCTCAACCGGGTGACCCAGGCCAACAAGTTCGTTCCGTTGCCATTTTGCTTTTATTCATGGCTACTTTTCAGGTTTCACTAGAAGAGTTCCAGCGTTGTTCTCTTGGCAAAAACGCTGAATTAGCAGCGTCGTGCGATGGAGAGAATCATGTCGTTCGCTATACTCTTTTCCAAGACGAATATCAACCAGGACAACTGTATTTTATAAGTTAGCACATGTACTATGGTATTTACATTGTCACCCTTTCATTGACGTTGAAAATGTGTACTTAAAGGTGTTAACAACTTAAAATTCAGCCACATCATCCGGTAAAAAGGATGGACTTTACGATCGACGTTTAGGACTTTGCAATGAGAAGAACATGAGAATGGCAGTACTGTTTGGTACTGAAGATGTGGTAAGGGCCTAACAGATCTTTTCAAAGACAGTGTGAATAACAAAGTTCTAGAGGAGTGGAGAGGTATTATGATAAATGGCTAGCAAGAGTCTGAGCTACGATGGTAGTCCCCTTCTTCTAATCATGGTTCTTAGCGGTAGGATGAGCCCAGTTATCGTTTACNCGAATATCAACCAGGACAACTGTATTTTATAAGTTAGCTCATGTACTATGGTATTTCCATTGTCACCTTTTTATTGACATTAAAAATTTGTACTTCCAGATGTAACAACTTAAAATTTCAGCCACATCATCCGGTAAAAAGGATGGACTTTACGATCGACGTTTAGGACTTTGCAATGAGAAGAACATGAGAATGGCAGTACTGTTTGGTACTGAAGATGTGGTAAGAGCCTCACAGATCTCTTGAAAGACAGTGTGAACAACAAAGTACTAGAGGAGTGGGCAGGTATTATGTTTGTTTGTGTGTTTGTTTGTTTGTCGGCTGTCAACTTCATCAGCCACGATGGTGGTCCTATTCTGTGGTACCTAGCTGTAGTATGGGCCCTGCCCATACAGTTATCGTTTAACCTCTGACTCTGAATTGCTCTCAAATTACTCTCGAGATAATGACTGTAGGATGTTCATAAACCTTTTCTGAGCACAGCGCATACGGATACTTTCCCAAATGATAGGGGTATTTGAAGGGTATGTCATGAGGGAAATAGCGGAGATAATGAGGNTAGCTGTATGATCGTTGTGCTTTCATAGATAAGAGCGTGTTGAGGTGTCAGAGGTTTGTAATCAGCTGTGATCGATGTAGCAGCAGCTTCTCTGAAGGATAGGGTCTGCAATTGTTTACGGTTTCAACGCCTAATGAAATATCTTCCTTTCAAGTAGGGCCCTAAATTTTTCGTTCGATTAAGTTCGAATTCTGTATCAATCTACTGCTGGGATTCTTTCAGTTCAATTCTTCAGATTGCTCTGGATATTTCTTATAATCATAAACCTTTCTGACTTCAGATACAGCGCCGCGATCCATTGCTTGGTTCAGATGTGGATCTACAACGGTTGATGCAAGATCGTTTCTATCTTGCAGAAGAAAATGGCGAACTTAACTGGAAGAAGAATGTACTGCCCGATATCGGTAAGACACACATTTGTCGCTGTATCGCACAAAATACACTTGACAGCTTGAGTATAGAGCTGGGTAAAAAGAAATCTTCAGACGTGGACTGGAGGACTTATCTACAGAATCAAAATCGCAAGTTGAAATTCGATAAATCGATTCAAATCGAACCAATCCCACTCGATAATGAGTTCATCACTCGATGGGAGCAGTTAAGGGTGAGTGCCTTCGATTTTCAAGTTCAAAACGTCTACTCGAACACTTGGAGGCGGTGATTACTTTCCACAATAGGTTACTTTTGCACATCTAAAAAACAAGTAATTGTGTTGAAAATCACAAGCAATGTCAAAAGCCTTTTTTTCAACGCCGGCTACATAAGGGCCTATCTCCTATTCGCGACAAGGAAAGCTGTTCTTTACTCTTTTTCAGAAAGCATGATTGAACTACCTAAATGAGGCTGCAGTAAGCAATTTTCTCGAAACTGTTCAGCTTAATTTTTCTCCTGCCCCTTTCTTGTCCAATTGAGTATGAACGGGACGATATTTCAGTGACGTAGTCAATAGCTGTGCCGAGCTTCTGGTCACTATTAAAAAATCTTCTTCTACAACATATAATGAATATTTCATTTAGAATCAGCGTCACCAAAACGAATTGGGTTTCTTCGCAAAAACCGAGGAAACACTTGAAAATGTCGTTTCAGCCGGTAAGAAATGATCTCTCCCTTTTTTTATGTGAATTGAGTCACTGGAGAACGCTGTTCGGCCCTCATTCATGTATTACATACATCGGAGTGATGGAACTTAAGACTCTTCATCCTCGCTTACTCGACCGCTTGGAGTCGTGGGCACATTTGGAAGCTTATGCATAGGTCTCCCACATAGGGTCTGTTTAGACCATCCGTTGCTAGAAAGGGATCAAGTTCGAATGAAAACTCTCGTATTCAATTCGAGACAGATCTCCCACCCTTTTCTCCTAGAATTTGCCGAAGAATTGGGAGGAACAGATGAGGAGGAGTTACGACATGGAGGTCGAGTGGTGACAAGTGGCGCACAATCATCCACGCGTGGGGCAGACTTCGAATCCGGATTAATATCAGCCTAGCTCGACAAAGCCCTCCATCCCTTGTGAGTCAGTCAACTGGTACCAGACTAGTTTGGGAGGATAAAAGCACTGACATGTACATCGGCTGGCCACCGCAAGTCATTGCATAGGCCATATACGCATTCAATACGCCACTTAATGGAAGTCGGATGCAGAGCGCATTCCTTGTGATGGGATTGATTAATGCCCAAGGATTCTCTTGCATGGCTAAGAACATGCGTCTCGAAACGCTTTCTTTTTGAAATGGTCGCCATTACTGCTACTTTTCAGGATTTCTGGTACTCTAAAATTCTTAATTCATTTTTCCACATGTTTAGGTAATCCCACAACGCTACCCACAATTCTGCTCATTGCATTCGCCCTTCTTCTGCAATGGATACGATGAACGTCGCCTATGTGTCATAGCATATCAGTATGATCGTAGTATAAAGTGGCCGACACGGCTTCCCCCATGACATCACCTATAATTCATTTTTCTCTTCAGTTTTTCCAGTCATTCCATCATCCAAACAGCTGTCCGTATTCTTTACTGCACTCTGATCGATCTCTTTGTGATTATTAGTTTATCGAAAATATTCTTTCGAGACATTTCGTTGTTCTGCCCCGGTGTTACCTCTAATATACCGGCCGTAGAGTTGTACAGTTTCATGTTTTTTGTTATAAAGTTAATTCTATACTTGGTTCTTGACTGTGTTTACAAAGTGAGATCGAAGGAATCGACATTTCATTTTGACCGGTGCTCAAAGATACCTTCGAGCCAAAATTAAAACGCCAACAATGTGTACATGCATTGGAGCACGGGATCGCGAGGTTTCCGCCCGAGCAGTTGCGGCGACGGAATGGATCACAGAAAAGGAAGTATGTCATGAAATTCCTTTCACGAATTCACTATCACTCGCTGAACGAAGAAAGTTCTTATAGTGACTCCACAGCCTCTTCGCCTTCGCCGTAGCGCACCAAAAAGGGGTTATCCCATAAAATTTGAGTCCTCCTACACCTGTAGTGGGTAAGATATCTCGCCCAAAAAGAAGAAAAACAATTTGAAAGAAAGTTAGTAGAATAGGAAATAAAAAGTAGCAAGAAGGCGTAAGAAAGAGACCGGCATAAGAAGAAGAGGAAAATGGTTGATACGCTATTTTTTATATACGATGTTCTCCCTACCATGGTGGCCGATTATTCATTGCTTATTAACAACGAATATTTTGGACTTTATAGGTTGCATAACATGCCACAAAAGTAATTCTAGGACCTCGAATGAATAGCATCGATAGCAATAAGGGGAGGGTCATGAGGAACTATCCAATACAATCGACCATGTAATGGCTACCCCATGGTAGCCTGATTTATGACACTCTGAAATAAAACACATCGGGAGCTTCCATTCGAACGAGTCGTTGAAGGAAGCATGCACAATGGGTAAAGAACTTTCCCAGATTTGAAAGATTTTCTTTGGTGATAATCAATCTCTCTCTATTTATCTACTTGTCTAGAGACGCAGGTGGATTCAGGGGATGGATACCCTGCTTCTGCTGCTCTGGTCGATATACCTTCTGTTTCTCGCATGGGTATCCACGCAGTCAAGCATGCTGTCAGTTACTCAACGCGCTTTGGAAAGGACGATGCTCGACATTTCCCTGTACACGCAAGTGCAGAAGGGAGTTCGGAGTTCCGAGTTCCATCATCATGAATAACATGAATGCCGTTGTTTACGCCAAGAAATCGAGTAACAGGTGGGCCGGACACATTATGCGATATAGTGATGACTGTTGGAATAGAGCGGTTACTGACTGGGTACCTGGAATATCAAACGATCTCCAGGACGGCCACCAACGAGATGGTCAGACTTCTTCATGAAAGCGAAGGAAAAGAATGTTAGACCCCGTGTCCCTAAAGCGAGGACGATTCACTGGACTAGTCTGGCTCGTGACAGGAACGAATGGAAACGATACTGGCACCCGCTCGAGGAAGTCGATGTTCAACGGGACTCTAGGCGATACAGGTGACTTTCCTTTGAATGCGTATTTGGTGAAACAATAAGTTGGGACCGGTCAATCTGCAAGTCACTGCAATCGTTCTCTCAGACGAGGCTGGTATCAGATTACCGGAAGAATGGTAGGCCGGGAAAAATTGCTCAGCCTGAGCAGGTTTGGATATCAAAAACCATAGGGTTTGGATATCAACCAAACCTCGCAGCTCTCGGTCGGTCGACTAGTTCCGGACTCATGCGGTAGGGGAAGAATAATTGTGACTCTTTGTACTTCTAGTATTTCTTCTCTCTTAGTCATTGTATGGGACCGAGACATTTGCCACAATCGTTCAAAAATCCCTACAAAAAAAAGGGACACTTAGAAATAGATTGATCAACGGCAGAAATTTTTTTTTATTATTCATCACATGTCTCCCCTTCTTGCCATTTTCTGTTCCCAGAATGTCTTTGTTTCTGTGAAATGCAAGTCACCTCCGCCGTCAGGAATGAAAATGAAAACATCGAGGGATGACTAAATTCAGAAAACATTTCAAAAGCTATTACACAGCGCTAGAAAATTTAATAAACCTCTCACTAGATGACATATAAGAAGCTACGAAGCTGATGTGTCATCCGACAGTGATATCATATGACTGGGGTTTGTTTCAAAATCGGAAATGTTCGAGGGTTCCAGACGCCTGGGCGGGACAGTGGTTTCTATAAAAGGACATGAAAAAGTGCTTAGTACAGTCGTAGCGGTGAAGCTGACTTCGTCGACTTCAACACTCTAAGAAGATGCTCGCGTCACGGTTTCGGTACGGTACGTCGCTATTCTATTCTCTGTTTATAATGGGATTCTTTTGAAGCTTTTAACAAACAGTATAATAAATTGAGAAAATCGAATTTTGTTTAGTCGTCGCCATCATATGTATATTGTATACGGGTGGAATCAGCGCAAAGAAAGGATCTACAAAGAAGACAACAACTCCATCCACAACGGAGAGTCAATCAACTAAGGCGCCAAACATGAGCTACATTTCTCCCTCCTCTTCACCCACGTTTTCTAATCTACACCAAGACACAACTTCTGAATCAACGATGACTCCGGCAACAGTGGAGGATTCAACTCCCACAGTAACATCTACAGATGGGCCCTCATCTGTGTGGACCTCTGCTGAGGAAGGAGACGATGCATCTGACCTTACTACTCCCGGAGAAAAACCGAATCCATTTGAGGCAACTACTCCAGGGATAGGGTCAAATTCATCTGAATCGAGTACACCTGATTATAGGTCAGGTGAATTTGATTCGGCTAGATCCAATGATAAGTCAAACTCATCTAAGTTGACTACATCCGATGATCAGCCAGTTCCGACTAACCGGACTATCTCGAATGATACGTCAGGTTCATCTGAGTCGACTGCTCCTGTCGGAGGCCCAAGCATATCTGTAGAGGATACACCTGATAAAAGTTTGAATTCAACTGATGGTGAGACGACAACCCCTGGGAGCAAATCAAATTCATCCGAGTCGACTGAACCTAATGGAGAGCCAAAATTATTTGTGGAAGATCCAAGTGAGTATTGGTCGTTTTCGTTGATTCAACTTAGCTGTATACAACCATTTAGGAGCTTCTGGATCCCAGCTAGGCGATTCTGCATCGGCGATCGGCTTTTCGCTTCTCACTGTGGTAGTTACCAAACTGATTCTATGGTGACAGCTGAAAAAAATGGTGATATAGGAGGATAAGGACTACCCGTGATGTTCCGTTGATGTCGATAATTTTACTTTTTTNTTTTTTCTATCTAAAATGTATGAATTAGGCAGAAATCTTGAACAAAGAGTTGAATAAAGTTATATCGATATAATTGTGAAGATTACGGTACCATTAGAAACAGGGTCTGCTACTGTATATAGGCAGGAGAGTATTGGAACTTACCTATGCTCGTAAACCTGAAAAGTGCAAATAGCGACTTTTCCAGAGTCTACGACCCGCTTTGAATTAATTCATTTTTTTTAATCTAAGGGCGGTTAAACATTACCAGGAGGGTAACCTAAATGTGATCAGGTCCTTTCAAATACTTTGCTTGCTACATGATGGGAACTCGAAAGGATGATGGTCGTTTTGGTGTAAGGTTTTTCTCAGAGTCAAGCTTCTCGTGAGCTCGTTCATTCGCGACGTGGGTAAGGGGAAGGTATTCGGCCCTAAGGTGCTTGATTGATGGCACTGCTGTCCATATGTGGGCATCATTGGATTAAATTAGTATTATGACTCCATCTGTCTCCACTCCAAAAACTTCTATCTACCTTCCCACGACCTCTTGCCACGCTCGTCCGTTACATGCATTTAACCGCTTTTAAGATTGTAATAGGAGGGAAAAGATGCAAGTCGTGGTTAAGTGGGAAAAATCAAGGAGAAGGAATGTTTGGTGTGGAGAGCGTTAACAACCTGAAATGTTCTGTGAACTATTTGGATATTCTGCTCCAAAACTTTGTAGAAATTGTGTTCGCTCAACGGGAACATTGTCTATCAGCGATGCTGTTCCACATATTCATGAGCCGCAATGAAATCGATCTATAATCCGGTGGTTACTTTGACATGGAAATCACCACCTCCTGATCTCTATGACGCGAGCTCGAAAATTCACACCTCTGGAAACAAACAACCCTTTGGTGCCATATCGATTGAAGTTTTTCATCACCATTGAATTTGTTTCTGTTAAAAATTTGAACTTTCTTCTGGTAAAAATTTCACGCACATACTTTTTTGCAAGCAGCTCTTTTTTAAAAAATCTGTCACTCTGCATCCTGATAATAACGGGGGTACTTGTTGCCGTAGTCCTTTCCGCTCTATACATTTACCGTCTGTACTTTTTACTACATTTAATTACTGTGTCATCAAAATTCAACTAAACCTTTCTATTAAATGATCGAGATCACTGCTTTATGATGTCTTGCATCTGGTCTATCCAGTTGATGCTGCTCAGAAGGTAAAGTCATCACAAGTACGTCGAATTATGGGGGAGGCATCTAGCTTCTAGGGTCAATGGAAACCTACAATTTCTTAGCACTATGAACTCACCGATCAATTTAATTCGGCTTGATATAGCGCCTTAATAAAGAGGTGCGTTCAAAGAGCTCAAGTTCCATTTGGAGCTTCAGCCCGGCCTTTTGCTCACATCAAAGTCCTTTGAGATCAAAAAAATTCGTAGCTATCGAAAATTGGTTGACTTCAGCACAAAGGGAAAAATAATAAGCCACCTCCTCATTTTTCCCTTCCCTTACCTGAGTTTAAAGATAAAGAACCAATTATTTAGTTTAAAGTTTTCTTCCCCAACTAACAATAGCTTTACACCATCCCCGGCAGAGTAATAATTGAAGGAATCAAATGTAGCTCGATGTTTTCAACTGAACAGATTCAAGTAAATGTAATGGATGATAGAAGATAGATGTAATAGAAAATCCGTTAAGAACTGAATTCGGCTTCAATCCCGAAGCCTTCCCTTATAACGCGCGAGCGCAAGGTAATCAATATCTCATCTCTGACAACGGCCATTTACCAATCGAGATGCATGACAACGATCAATTCACCAATCATTGCTCTAATATAGGAAGTTGAGACTTTTCCATTCGATTGTGTTCATGGTAATGTGGTGTATATTGATCAGTTTCCATTCCAGAATTATCCGTAAAAAACCATATTCACTCTGAAAGATGACTGAATCGTCACAAAAGGAAATCGGCAAGGTTGGTCTTGAAGAACCGTTGTTATTAGGAAAAACGAGTCAGTGAATGGAAAAAAGATTTGAC